TTTTTATTGCCTAGAATTTTGGCCCTGATTAAAAAGTAACAGCAAAACCTCTTTGGCAGCAACTCAAAAAACCCTGTCTGAAAGTCAGGATGAGCGTCTGTCCAGCTTCTCGTCTTACCCTTCTCATGCCTGCCCAGTTGCACCCAGCACTGCTCAGATAACCAGCATAGAGGGCTCTCTGTCTGTTTACCTTCCCTCCCAGACTTACCTTTCCTTCCTGAGTGCAAGTCACTGCAGAAGGACTGCTGCCACCCTCCATGATTCAGTGTCTGGTGAAGAGGCCATAGAGGTGCTGCTTGCCTCCACTGCAGTACTGTTTATGGATGCTGACTCTCATGATGGGGTCCCAGAAGATCTTATCTTTGTTGTCTTTGAAAAGCTTCTCTTTGATATTGTGATCTGTTGTTGATATAAGCACTGAGAGATTTTGCTCCAAATTATATAAATTTCCCAGCCACGTGGAGAGACCGTAATCCATGCCCTGTATACTTCGTTGCCTTACAAACACAGAGGGCCATCAGTTCTGTCCTAGCTTGTATCAGACTGACACCTGTATTGCAGAGTCTCATTACCAGCAGAGAACTAGACACTTTTGATGTCTTTATGTATTCAAGAAGTAGAGGTCCTAATTGTATCATTAATTTCTTTGGCAACTCCTTGAATCTGTGCTGATGGAAGCCTTTCTCAGGAGAGTATTAGGGAAGCAACTCATCCTAGGGCTTTCAGTGATGTGGGATACATTAGAAAATGCAAATTAAATCACAGTCAGATGAGGACACATGAACATGAATAGCTACCTGTAATCAATGAAAAGACCTGTAACCATGCACTGGGGAGGACATGGAATTAGAACTTCCATATGGCTGATAATCATTGTGAAGGACCATTAGGGCAGTTAAGCTTGTCATGTGGCTCAAGAATGACTACCTATGTCTATAAAAAAGGCCTTCTTTCTGTACAGATGTTTACTTTGTACTAGCATAAAGCTAGAGACATTTACGTGTCCCTCCATGGTAGGTGGATAAACTATGGGCATCTGTACAATGGAACAGTTGAAAAAAAAAAACAAAACAAACCAAGCCCTAAACTACTGATACCTGTAACCATGAGAATGAATCTAGAAATCTGCTGTGGGAAAGAAGCCAGGCATGAGAGTCTATGCTGTGTGATTCTGTTTAGGGCGAGCAAAACTAACGCACAGAGAAACTAGAGCTCAGGTTGCAGGGTTTGAGGAAGAAGAGGGAAGAAGGTCTACAGAGGCAGTTCCCTGTTGTGATAGTTCCAGCAGTGCATGATGCTGTGAGGCCATTGTGATATATGCACAGTTGGTTTAAAAAGGAAACTGCAGATAGATGAGGGGTCGTGTGGAATTTCTTGCTAATTATCTCTGTGTTCCTGAATGGAGAACTTAATCTTTCTTTGTCTATTTTATGTAGGAGAAATAGCCACATGGAAATTCTGGGTCTATGGGCATGGAAGTTCTGAGTCTTTTCTGGCAAGAACTTGTTAACCAATATATGCTCGTGTATTGGAGTTTGCTTACAAGTATTCTTTTAAGGTTGTGGAACATTTACTGTGTTGCTTCCTGTCTCTGCACATCAGTAAGATCTGAGGCAGAATAATGGAAGCTCAGTGTCTATAAAGTGTTTAGCGTCTATTAGCGTCTATAGTGTTGAGTTCTATTCACCATTAAGATAAAATGTGACTTATTGCTTGTGTCTAAATCTAGAGTTTTCAAATAAAATTTGGGTTTCCGTTTTAGGTTTTTAAATTTTCTTTTCTCATTCATTCATTCATTCATTCATTCATTCATTCATTCGGGGGAGGGACATGTGGAAGTCAGAGGACAGCTGTAGGAATCAGCTCTCTCCTTTCTCTTTATAGGTGACAGAAATTGTACTCATTTTGTCAGGCTTAATTTTGGATGCCTTTACCAGCTGAGCCATCTCTGACCCTGTGTCTCCTTACCTTTAGAAATTAGCACTGCTGACTGGAGCTGGGGGTAAGAGTAGCTCACTTGGTAGAGTGCTTGCTGTGTAAACATCAAGACCTGGGTTAAATTCCCAGCTCTCATATAAAAATCCAGGCATGTGGACCATGCTTGTAATCCCAGCACTAGGGAAGCAAAGATGGGAGGATTTCGGGGTGCTTGGGGCCAGATTTAGCCTAGTTGGAAAACTCCAGCCCAGTGAGAGACCCTGTCTTACAAAACAAGGCAGGCAGCTCTGAGGAACTATATCTAAAATTGACTTCTGGTTTCCACATACACATGCATGTACACCGAGTCCATCGTCCTGCACAGTAACAGCTATCTGCATGTGTGGTAGCCTTCACAGCCATTTGTACTTAGTTTTCCATGATCTCTGCCACACTTTGTTGCCTTTTCTATTCTCTATGTAAAAATTAAGAGGGAAATGAATTCATTATTAAATTTTCACCTCTCCTAGTAGTTTACTCCATTTGCTCCATAGTGCACTGGTAGTGGCTGTCACCTTTAGGATGACAAATCTTACTAGGTTTTGATTTTTATTTTATGGTTAATTTTTTTCCATTTACACATGGACCCTTTTATAGGCATAGGTGCTTAATAGTGTGGTTCTGACTATGTTGGGTAGAGTAACCTGTTGCTTTGCTTTAAGATTTAATTGTAGGTATTGCAAATCTGGCCTGGCCTGCTGAGTTTCAGCCCTAGCTGGAGAGATCATGTTTCTGCAGCACTGCTCCCATCTGGTGGCTGCTATCTCTCATTGCAGCAGCATGACCTGCTTCAAAATGGAGTGGCTTGTCCTTCAGGGATGTTAGGTACCACACATTAAAATGCCTTTAAAGTACAAATTCTTGGGAGTGGGAACATTCATCAACTCTTTAGGAAAGAAAGGTAAGAACTGTGATGAACAGTTTATGAACTAATGTGTATATCTGTAAGTCATTTTTAAACATTTTTTTAAATGAAATGAAGGGTTACTTATTTCTAGTGAAGGAAGTACTCATTTGCCCATTTAGTTCAGCAGAGACGTTGGTTTTGCCTTCTTTTATGAAGAGATATTGTGCGGGGTTTTTTGTGGGTTTTTTTGTTGTTGTTGTTGTTTCATTTTGGTTTTTGGTTTTTGGGTTTTTTTAAAGTCATGATAGCTGAAGTAGAGGGAACCAGTTTTTGGGTAGTCAGGATAATGATACCTCTCCAGGTTCTGCACACAGCTAGCTATGAAACTCCTAAAGCTTCTGTTCACCTCTTTACCCACAAAACATTTTTTTTTTTGTGGTGTTGGGGACTTTATGGTGCTACTCTGGTAATCTGTAACTGAATGAAACTGTAAAGTATCTGGCAAAATGAATATCTTCTTGGACTATATATAAAACAATTATAAATATAAATGGAGGGTTTTATGTTTTTGCAACTTTCTCCAATGCTAATACACTGTAAGCCATGGTTCCAACAGGTTTTTGGGGGTGGGGTGGGGGAGAAAAGAGAAATGGTGCTACAATATGTACATGTACTACTAGACATGACTGATACATAGTTCATGCATTTAATTTTTGTTGCATCTCTTAAAGGTTGTATATTCTTGGAATTTAGGAAATGTGGACTGGGTATGGTGATACACATTTGAAAATCTTGGCATTTACGAGGGCAAAGGCAGGAGAATCAGCTCAAAGCCAGCCAAGGCCACATGAGACCCTGCCTCAAAAAAAAAAAAAGAAAGAAAAGAAATTTAGGAAGAAATAGAGATGGAGAAGAAGAGAGGGAGAGAAGACTTAATTTTTGATGCTGAGTGTTCTTTTTAAAAAAGTAAGTACTCAGCTGGGTGTGGTTTTACACGCCTTTAATCCCAGTACTCAGGAGGCAGACACAGGTGGATTTCTGTGAGTTTGAGGACAGCCAGGGCTACACAGAGAAACCCTGTCTCAAAAACCAAAAATAAAAGTAAATACTCAAAAATTTTACATTTAAAATTGATAATGGAACAGTTTAATCTATTGCAAGAAAATAAAAGCCATGGGTTGGTTTTTTTTTTTAAATGAAAATATTAGCGATACAGTGGTTGCTGTTATAGATTCCATAGGAAGTTTCAGTGTTTATCTGAATACTAAAGAATGTAGTTGTAGTGACAGGCAGTAGGGAGACATGTAGTCTCTCATAAGTCTTTGTCACAATGTGGATTTGGATTCATTTGAGTGCATTAACATTTTTACAGAACGATGTGTGTTTTATTAAAACAAGGAATGATACTTTATGAATAAGGCTCTAGTGGCTACAGGGAATAGATTCCTACTCAGGATATTTTGAACAGTTACTATAAGGCTAGTAAGTGCTGGGGACAGGCACTGAAGTGTCACCAAACCTCAGGGCAGTCAAAATGGCTCCAGTGGATTCCGAGTCTTGATTCTCAGAAACCTAAGATCTCTGTGTTGGCTGCTTATTGGTTTCTGTCAAATGACTGCTAGCTCAATACTCTATCACAACCTCAACTCAAATGACTTCCCACTGTGTGCACTTCTAGCCAACTTGTACTCACTTGTGTAAAGAACCAATTAGTGATGCTTTTGCTCCACGGGATTGATGACCATGACATTTGAATTAAGTCATGAAGGTACGCAAGGCAGACAGTTGGGCTGTGCAGGAGTCTCCTGTTACTCTTGAATGGGAGGTGGAACAAGAAGGGGAAGAAGAAAGGAAAAGCAGAGTCCTGAAATAAACTGACAACTGTTCATGTTAGCAAGCACTGGGAGAATTTTCTAGCTTCTCTGATGAGAAAGGAAGTACTGGGCTTAATAAGAAGACCCTTGTAGTTTCTTTGGAAGGTTCTTCTTGATTCTGAGATAGAGATTCAGGGCGTCTCTGACTCTGGCTCTAAGTTCCAAGAGTGTAAGAGTGCCGTCTAGGCCAGCATGGTTTGGAGCCTGGCTGATGGCGGAATCAGTGCCATGAGAGGTGCCAAAGGGTAGCCAGAGTTCCTAACTGACTGCACATGACTCATCTTCGTGTATCCTTCTCACAGGTGGATTTGCTCTTGTCTTTCTGGTGAGAACAAGCAATGGGGTGAAATGTGCCTTGAAACGTATGTTTGTCAACAATGAGCATGACCTCCAGGTGTGCAAGAGGGAGATCCAGATCATGGTAAGTGCTGCACATTGTGACTGCGGCTTCTTCTTTTTAAATGTTACATATATTTTTAAATTGCATATTTCATTAATTTCTTAAAATATGTTTTGATCATATTCATCTCCTTACCCCAACTCTTCCTGGGCCCTCTCCCATCTCTCTATCCATGCACCTTTTGTGTTCTCTCTCTTAAAACCTTTGAGTCCAGTTCTGTGTTGGCTGATTACACCTAGGTGTAGAGCCTGCCCTGAAGTGTGGTTGATATACTCACCATTGAAGAGAACTGACTTTTCCTCCCCAGTAGTAATCAAATACAATAGTCCCTCAGCTAGGGGTGGACTTCATGTCTGCCTCCCCTCCGTGCTGAGATTTGTCTGGTTTGAGCTTTCGCAGGTCTTGTGCACCATTTTATAACTGATAGGAGAAGTTCACGTGCGCATTTGCCCTGTGTGGAAAACACTGCTTCCTTGAAGTCTGGCTCTTAAAATCTTTCTGCCCCCTCTCTCACATAGATCCCTGAGCTTCACTGGGTGTAATACAGGCGTCCTGGTTAGGCTCAGCACTCCAGAGTCTCTTATTCGTGCACATTGGCCAGTTACAAGTTTCTGTGTTAATTACTAGCTACCTCAAGAAACTTCTCTGATGAGTGTGGGGCAATGCACTCTAAGTGAATATAGCGGTAAGTCACTAGAGTCAGCTATGTGTTGCTATGTCAACTTGAACACAATAATAGTAGTAGGTTTTACCCTCCGGTCCATGATTTACCTTCTGAGGCTGCTTCTCAACACAGGTATACTGTGCTGCCTAGGAAAGTCACTGGCTGACACCTTCCTTGAGTTGGCAACAAGATCTTACATAAAGTGGGACCAACAACCAAAATATCTAGGGTTCTGTTCCTCCCTTTGATCACCCTCAACTGGAAACTGAAGGGAAAAAGGAACTTATTGGGGGTAACCTAGCAGTTTAACTCAGAAAAATAGTTTGGAACCTTGGGAAAGCGTTTAATATGGAAAGCTCAACTCTTTGTGAGCTGTTCTCTCTTTCTGCCTTCCATCAGTTGCCAGCCTTTTGTTGTGGTCTGGTCACCAACCCTCTGAGCCCTTCTGTATCCTGTGAACATGTCCTGACACAACTTTATTCTTTTTAGTTTATAGTATTACTTCATAACACTCTATGATTCCATGTATAAAAGTTCATGATTAGGTATAATTTATTGTGGCATCAGAGTTATACCTTAATTTAAAAAAACAAGCTTGCTAGGAGAGATGGCTCAGCACTTAAGAGCTTGTACTGTTCTTCTAGAGAACCAGAGTTTGATTCCTAGCATCCATATCACAACTATCACTATGACTCTAGCTTCAGAGAACCTAATGCCTCTGGCCTCTCAGTGCACCTGCACGCGCATGCATATTGGTACACAGACCCATAATTAAAACAAACCCTTGAAAAATTTACTAATTTGTGCAGATCTAAATTTCTACCACTATTAAAGAGTGTTTCAGAAGTACATGCTGGTGTGTTTATGATGCAATTGTATGTTACTGTGAAAACAGTAGCTGAATTTAAAAGAAAGATTGACCATGGTGTGATAACCAGAGCAAAGTGAGACTTCTTCTGGAGAGCTGCTTAGTTGTTATTTGTTGCTTTTCCTTCTGTTTGACAGAATGCATAATAGAAATGCTTAAATATGTACACGGTTATTTTTGGTATTTCCACAGCTTTTGTTTATACCGATATAATGCTTCACCTGGTATGCTTTATGCAGTCCTGCCATCACAGTGTGAGTTATTTAAAACAAGAAACAGAATACTTTGACACACTGGTTAAGAAAGTAGATCAATAAGTGGGTGAAATCAATGTTTGGTGGTGGCAGAAACAGATCCATAGGAATCACCTCTTTAGTGCTCCAGATTTTAAAGCCTTGGTAAAAAGCAGAAATAAAAGTTAGGTGCAGTGAGAGCCTAAAACTAAGTATATTTGGGAATGATCAAATACTACAGAGCCAGCCAGCAACCCCCCCAGGCTGAAGACCACAGGGACCCATCTGTGATGGGTCGAAGGTCCTCTGCTTGCCCTGTCTCCTGCACATGGGAGGTTCTCATATTTCTACCCCCTGTTCCTTCTCCTTCACTTCTTCTTTCCTTCCATTCCTCCTTCCCCTTCTCTGGCTATCCCTTCCCACGTGCCTCCATCTTGCTCAACTGTCACACACCTTCTCATCTCTGCTGCTGTTCCATCTCTCCTAGAATGCCCTTCCATTCTTTTACCTATGTTAGAAAGCAATCCCATTCTTTCCTTCTCCTACTCATTTGGAAACATGAGGGATTACTTTGTGCTAGCAGAGAAACCAAAAAGCACAGGCCTGAAAACTCAAAATTAATGGGTCCAATTAGGAGCTTAGTTGTATGGGATCATGTTCTGGTCCAGTGATGCATTAATATGGCGGTTTGGCTTTGTTTTTAATTTGGATTTTATTTTATCAAAGCTAAGTCAACTAGGTAACAAGCACACGTCAGGCAGCCCTACACCATCCTCCTGTGCCACCTCAGGATCCTAGAAGTCATCATGGTAGTTGATTCTTTGAATGTACTACCCAAACCACTTTAGTTCTTGGTTTTTACTTCATTTCAGACATTGTTCCCGTGGGATGTAAGGATTTAGCTGTTTTCATCCTGCAGGGCACCCTATCCGAGGTATTAGCTTTATCCTCATCCAGAATTCATTGGAATGCAAGTCAGTTTTGATAGTGGGTCGTGGCTGTGGCAACTTTGGTTTTCACATTGCTGTGAGAGGGATCTATTCCTGGTGCATCTCCTGCTGGGCATCAGCACTGCCACTTTTCCATGTGGCCATTCTCATTAGGACTTGCTCTCAGTGTTCTGCATACATTTCAGCAATGTGATTCCAGGCTCTCCTCCCTTAGTGTGGTAGTTTGAATATGCTTGGCCAGGAAGTGGCACTATTTGGAGGTTCGGCCTTGTTGGAGCAAGTGTGTCACTGTGGGCATGGCTTTAAGACCCTCCTCCTAGCCACATGGGAGCTAGTCTTCTCCTAGCTGCCTTCAGATGAAGATGTAGAACTCTCAGCTCCTCCTGCACCATGCCTGCCTGCACTCTGCCATGCTTCTGCCTTGATGATAATGGACTGAACCTCTGAACCTATAAGACTGCCTCAATTAAATGTTGTCCTTACAAGAGTTGCTGTGGTCATGGTGTCTGCTCACAGCAGTAAAACCCTAAGACACTTAGTAAGTCATGTTTTAAATGTGCAGATATAGCTAGTTTTCTGCTGGAATACTCTGAGGACTTGTCCTGGGATCCTGACTGGATGGACCCCACACTAGCTGAAGTTCTCTGGAAACAACTTGTTCCTGTTGTGGAATTCCCTGGGCTCCTGTATCTTGGCTTTCCTTTTGGTCAGCCTCCCCAGCCCACTTTCTCCTTCACCCTTCCTTCTGTGGAGGTGATCACCCAATAGCTTCTCTATGAATTGGGCTTCTGGTGTCAAATTAAAGGAGTTTTTGTTTAGTCTTCAATTCTGAAGACTTTCTCCTATTTTTTTCTTCTAAAATTTTAGTTTTACACTTGTCCATGAACCATTTTTAGTTCACTGTTATATAAGCCTTGAGGCTTTTGTTGAAGTTCTGCTTTTTTCTTATGAATGGCAAATTGTTTTGAAAAGGAACCCCCTACTCCCCTGGTTGTGAAATGTCACTTGAGCTAGAATTGTAGCTTAGAAGTAGCATACTTGTGTACATGTACAAGGCCCTAGGTTTGACCCCCAGCATCCCTACCCCCAGGAACTTAAATTGTGGGGATCCATTACTAGGCCTTTCTTTGTTCTCTTATCAACTGTATGTATCTCTCTCCACCTATTTCTTGTTTATTGTAGCTGTATAGAAACCCCTCCTTCCCTGACAGAGTCTGTAGCCTTGGGTTACCTTAACTGTGTAGCCTTGAACTCCTGATTCTCCTCCCTTCATCCACCAAGTTCTGATATTACAGGTATATGCTACCACAGTCTGCTATCAAACAAGATTCTCTCAGATTTTCCTCAGAATGCTTTAAAATATTCTAGTCTATAGTATATTAGTTTCTTTTCTCACCAGTGTGACAAATGCCTAATAAAAGCAACTTAAGCAAGGATTTTGGCTCATGGTTTATGAAGAGTTACAGTTGTCGTGGAAAGGAAGGCATGGTGGCAGGAGTATGAGACAGCTGGTCACACTATTTTCAGGCAGGATGCACAGAGTGACAGGAAGTGGGGTTAGTTCATAAAAACTCAGAGCCCTTCCCTAGTGACTTGCTTTTCTGTAGCAGAGACATACCTCCTTACAAAATAGCAGCACAGGTGGGGACTAACCATTCAAACATGTAAGTAAGCCTGTGGTAGTATCTCACATTCAGTTCACAACACAACAGTATACATTTTAGAATAATCTGGAATTTTGATAGGAAGAATATGAGACCTGCATTTCTACTTGGGGAGCATTGACATCTGTTCTGTGTGGCCTCTTCTTATAAATGAACATGGTCTGAATCTCCATCCACCTACGTCTGTGACATCATTCACTACCAATCATTTGCTTTTCTGTACACAAGCCTGTAAATATTCTTAGATGTATACCAAAGCCTTTTCATTTGTTTTTAGTAATTTTAAATGATTTTGCATATCTTCTCTAGTCCTAGGCCTCACCCTGCATGTTATACCTCTAAATCACCACTCCTAACACTAATTTCAGATTAAAAAAAAAAAAATCATGGGTTTAATGCTAGTATTTAGGAATACAGCTAATTTTTATACTATATCCTGTCAGTTTGCCAAACTTGCAATGAGAGATGGCTTTCTTTCTTGCTTTTTTCTCCTATATAGCCTTCTTGTAATATCTGGAACTTGTAATGCTACATTAAATAAAAATGAGACATTTATTCTTGGCTTTGTTCCCAATCTTAATAGGAAAGCATTTAGCCCTTTATCATTAAATATAAGGTTGACTTTAGTACTTTATACATTTTTTAAAAAATCAACATGACTCATCATCTGTAGTAGAACCTCCACCAGGATGCTAACTTTGATGTGGGGAGCTCTGGGGGAAGTGGTTTCTCCTGATCACAAACAGGAAGGTCCATGTGTTACATCTAACTACATATCCAACTACATATCTCTTCATCTTTGAGACCTCATGGAACTATGGAAGGCCATTGTACACCATTCCCAAGAAAAATAAGTATGAGAAAAAGCAAGTTAACTTGGCTGTTCTTATGCTTACCACTAATCTTACATTCTTTTATAATTACAAGTAACTTACTTAAAACAACAAGCCATGCTTGTCAGTTACGTTCCCATTGGAAGGTAGAACAGCTGCCTTGGGTAACAGAACAATCTTTACAACTGAAACAGTGGGTTGGCTCTGATGTTAGGATCAAGTGAAGCCATAAACATGGACTCTTAATTAGTTTTAACCAACTTTCCCAGCATGGTTCAGTGAAGGCAAAGATTTCAAAGGTCAGTTAACTCAATGAGACTATGTGTGGCATGGTGTAGCTGACAAAGAGGATGTGGTGTTCAGCTCTGTTGATGGTGGTACAGACTTAACTGCTCATGAGTCAGACTAGACCTGCAGCTCCATTTGTTTTGGAAGGTATTAGAAATGATATTTGTCCAGCTGGCTCCTGGCTTAGCCACCATGTTGCTGCACTAATGCGGACATCGGTAGGCAGTCTCTGTGGCTCCGGCTGCCTCCGCCAGCCTCCACGGCTCTTGGCCTGGCCCCTATGCCAACCCCACCGCCTCTGCCTCCATGGCGCTAGGCTAGCCCCATGCAATAACCGCCATCCTTGCGGTTAGATATCACAATACCCATTAACCCGGTAAATCGAAACTCTTAATGCTTGTAGTTAACCAAACTGATTTATATATCAGCAAATACTCAGATTCCAAGGTGCCTACACAATTAGACAAGTTATCCCAATTATCCTAACCTTTTGATATGTATCACTACCTGGTTCTGCAAAAGCCACTTGGGTTCACGTCCACTATCATTTTCCGCCACCTTTCTCTTGCGACTCTTTGCCACTCTTAGCTCCGCCTCCCTTTTCCCTGCCCAGTCACAGGCCTCCTGCTGCAAATAGATTGGACAGTGAAATTTCTGCCACACCATTCACCTCTTGAGGGCATCCCTCTTCAAAAAAATAAAATGAAATAAAATAAAGTGCACAAGTCACAGTGAAGCAACACAGTTATAAATGAATAGACAGTCAAAGTGGCCTTAAAAGTATGTCAAAGAAAGTGAGACTGCCCATTACCACCTTTTGAAGAGGCTGGGTTTTTTTGCCTAGTTGACTGGTCTTGGCATGTGTGAAAGAAATAGTTGATGTAAGTGTACAGTTGCTGCCGACAGGGTCTTGTACAAGAAGGCAAATTGATGAGCTGCCCCCTCGAAGATTAAAAGCTCATTAGGATGGAAACTGGCTTAGATTTGATTGACGAACTTGCTCTTTATTTCCTTGTGACTGGCAGAAGTTTACTGAGCAGCCAGCATTTGTGTGCTGCTTAGGACCTTGCTAAGGTAAGTGTCGCTGAGTAACATTATGGCACCAGGCTGGTTCTGCCCAAGGCCACCAGGTCAGAGTCTGTTTTATAGTGGAGTGGGATTCCCTCAGTGATCCATAGTTCTATTAAAATCTGAGGTGCAGTGCTCTGGTGTAGGACTGTAGGCGACATTTTAAAAGGTCTATTCAGCAAATAGAAGATTAATTGAATAAAAGGTGTCCTAGTTTGATTTTCTGTTACTCTATAAAACACTAACTAAAAGCAACTTGGGGGATAAAGGATTTATTTCATCTTACATTTTTAAGTCACAGTGCATAGAGAAGAAGTCAGAGCAGGAACCTGGAGGTGGGAACTGAAGCAGAGAGTATAGAGGACTGCTGCTTACTGGCTTGTTCCTAAGCTTACACTCAGCTAGCTTTCCATCCCAGCCAACTGTCTAGGAATGGTGCTGCCCACAGATGCCCACAGATGCCCACACCTCCCTCTCATCAGGTAATCATGAAAGTGCTCAAGAGACATGCCCACAGTCCAACCTGTTCTTCTGTTGAGGTTTCTTCTTCCTGGGTAACTCCAGTTTGCATCAGTTGACAGTAAAGCTAAGCAGTATAGAAGAGGGGACGGATGCAGGTGCAGGGAGAGAAAAGTGTCTCGGACTTCTTAAGTAGCAGAAGCTCAACAAAGTCTCAGAACTCAGGTCCTGCTCAGTTTTCTTTCCTGCCTGACTAGAGTTGTAGTGTTTGTTTGCTGTGATCGAATTCTCTGGAAGAGTTAGAAGAGAAGTGTAGTGTCATGAGCAGTCGAGAGGACGAGTAAAACAAAGCCACAGTTTTCACTCCCCAGTGTGTTTTTCACAATTCCTGGCAGTTCTTCCTTTGAGACAGCTCCTTTCTTACACAGATGCTCTGAGAGAGTAATCCACAGACACTGCTCAACTTAAACTTTTCTCACCTTATCTCATCTCTTCTCCAAAATTCTTCTTATATAAGTCTCCAGAAGTTTCCTGTGAGCATGTTTCTCTGATTGCCATCTTTCTGAGGTCTGCTATTCTGTGTCAGTGGGACTTTCTAATCCACTGTGCAGAGGGAGCATAGTGAGCTTTGCTGTTGATGCTGAGGGTTCACGTGTTTACTTGATACTTGAGGCTGCTTCCTGGGGTAACTTTGTCATTTTGAGCATTGGAATGTCCACTTAGGGTAGTCAAGAACAGCTTTCCCATGGACTCCGAGAAGCTAGGGCAGTTTTCCAGACAATCACACTGTCCTACTGGACCAGTCAAGAGCCTAAGCTTGAGTCAAACACAAACTCATAGAACCACGCATTTTCTGCACCCTCCCCTAAGTCTTTAAGACAGAAGTAAAATAGTGTATTATAGTTAATTCACAAATCTTTATTTTGCCTTGCATTTGTATAAAAGCCATAATGTCCTGTTTCTGCATGTTTTCTTTCCCCAACCTTGGAGAACCCTTCTTAATAACCTTAATAACCTTGGGTTTAGCATCATCATCATAGATATCTGCTCTATGGACCAAATTGTGAGGTGATTTCCAGTGCTTGGGTGGTGCTTAGGAGCTACATGTTGGAAGGATTAAATCCCATGAGCAGCAGCCCTGAGTACTGATAATCAGTTCAGCTGATGCTGCATCTTTTATCCAGTCGGCCATCTGGGAAGGCTTAATTATGACGGAAATGCTGGGTCTAGATGCTACTGTAGTCTCTTCAAAGCTTGAAAGGCAGGTTTTTTTTTTCCATATATTTCTTAAAGGGAAACCATTAAAAGTCAAGTTGGTGCATGTTCAGAAATGTGCCCACTTTCCTTTATAAATTTGTGCATGCTACCCAACTAGAACCCTCATGGTTCCTTTGTTCAGGGAAGACATTGCTTTGGAAAGAACTCTGTTAAATGCCGCAGGTGGTAAATCTTTCTCTCTCCGGTCCTCCCACACATACAAAGAAAAAGAAAGCAAAAATTCAATCTGAATTCACTTTTGCCCCCATAAACAGAAGAAACATCAATTTCTTTTTCTTTATTAAAAAATGTACATGTTTAAGTAGTTGTGGGTTTCCTCCGCTACAGTATTTCTGGATGTTACAGGGTCGTTGCTTCTGGTTTTGTGGAGCACTAATGCAGCGAGCAAGTGTGTGTTCTGTGTGGTTCATTCTCTCCTTGTTCAGGAGAGTCGGGGATTCAGCAAGGCAGTGGAGTTGCTCTTGGAGATCCAACTAGGCTTCTCACAGACCACGGGACACTCACTCTCCCTTTTCCATGCTGTTCGTGCTGTCTCTGTGTATTTAAATTGTCTGTGCTACTGGAACAACTGCTAATTCTGCCCCTAGTGTGTCTGTAACTGACCATGTACTTCTCCACTCTTGTTCACAGAGGGACCTATCAGGGCACAAGAACATTGTGGGCTACATTGATTCTAGTATCAACAATGTGAGCAGTGGCGACGTATGGGAAGTTCTCATTCTCATGGACTTCTGCAGAGGTGTGTGTTGACCCTCCTGAAGCTTTGCTTCTGGTTAATGGTCGAGGACATGGGGATCATTTCACGTATTGTCCATTGCACTCTGAAGAAATTGCTCTGGTTTCACAGATGGCAAAGCTAATGCAGGCCCTTGCTGCTCTAGGTTATTTTTATGACTACTAGGGCTGTGGTACAGGTACAACTAATTGAGAGCAAGAGCTAATTCCAGGCCCTGTCTCCATTAGGTATAGAAAGATTCGGCTGTGTGTATAAATGAGACCATGGGAAAATGAGAAAGAGTGTGCTTCATTGAGGTTTTAACAGACAGTGAAGGCGTACAGTAAAAACCCAGTGCTGATCTCACAGAGGCTGCAGCTTCCCTGCTTCTCACACTACTCTCACAGCATTCCCCTCCTGTGATTGAGTGAAAGAATCCTCTCTGTCTTGCTCCAGGGCTGGAATCCTGGTAAAGCTACATTCAGGACCTGCTGCTTTCAACTATAAATACATGAAAGCTTGAAGTTTCTTCCATCTCTCCTGAGAAATCCAGGCTGTAGCACAGATGTTTTGGGAGCTGCTATCCCATGCACCCATTGCTTGGAGCCTTGGCTCTTTGGCCTAAGCAGCTGATGTTATAAGCTTGAGTCATTGCCTTACTGTTTGGTGCCCTGTTTTGTAATTACCCTTAGTTACACTAACATTTTCTGATTTTAAAAATATTGTCCATAAATTGTTTCTTTTCCTGTAGATGTGATGTTAATCAATAGTTTTGGCCTTTGTTGACTATTGATCTGATTTTATAAAATGCCATAAAATTTGAACTTCACAATTTATTCCCTTTTGACCATTCCCCTTTTATCATAGGACTTTCTAGATGCAAGGTAGTAGGAGGGCTTGAGTCTGGATGATTTTGTAAGATTTGTCACCAGTCTTTTGTTCTCAGAGAGAAAAAGGTTGCTATAGCATTTCATAGGCCAAATGAGAGAGACCAAGCTCCTCCAGAGTTAAAAAGACTTCAAAGTGGAAATGGCATCATCTTCTTCCTGCTCCCTGGATCTGTTGTGGTGTCTAATTCTTGCCAAAATACATGGGTGTGGCCTTGTTTCTTGCTCTGTGGGGACATGAGTACCAGGCAGCGCTAACTGATGGTAATGTGAGTTCTGCTTCTAATCTTGAGGATACCATGAGGGCAGCTCACATCTGTGCACTTATCAAAACAATCTGGTTTCAGAGGGTTATAAGAAAAAGAATCTCAAGCAGAGACTGGAAACCTAGGTTTTAGTGCTAGTTTGGCCAGTGATCAGCTTCTGTCTGGACAGCTGTAAGTACCTTGATCAAAGTGACAAGTCTGCCTATTAATGTCCTTTCCCTTGCTCTGTCCTGTCTCAGGGGGCCAGGTGGTAAACCTGATGAACCAGCGACTCCAGACAGGCTTTACAGAGAATGAAGTGCTACAGATATTCTGTGATACCTGTGAGGCTGTGGCCCGCCTGCATCAATGCAAAACTCCTATTATCCACCGGGACCTGAAGGTAACAGACTGACTGCTTCCTGGAGTGGGCCTTCACTAAGTGTTTTTCTATGTCTCGGGAGCAGTATGTACTGAGAGAACAGGAGAGAAGTTGATGGAATAGTTCTTAATGCTGAGCCTCACATTGAAGTTGAGGAGAGAAAATACAAAGAAAAAGCACAGTACAGATAGCAACTAGCCTCCAGAATTTTAAAATTTCAAATGTCTGAGCTCATATGTTTATTACTGAATTCCTAAATTTCTAATGGTCTGGAAAATTAATATGTTAATTTAAGTAGCTTATAAATAATGATGCTTACAGACATGCAGAGTTATTGCTTTTATACTAAGGTTTGCACACAGGGCCTTGCACATGCTAGGCAAGTATTATACCTCTGAATTATATCCCGAGCCCTCTTTCATATTTTGAAATTTTCACTAGTTATTTTTTAATAATTGGTTCTGATTACCATCCCTTTGCCCTGTATGTTTGATATTGAAGTCACATGACACATTTGCAGCCTGAAATTGGTACCTGGTTGGGGTTGAACTTAGCATTTATTGAGCACCATCTGTGTGCTAAATACTGAACTTTATACATACTGTCTTAGACATTTTCCATTACGTTTTACAGGTGAGGAAACTAAGTAGCAGAGAGGCTTTGTGTCTCACCCATGTTCTTATACATAGGAAATGGTAGTATCAGAATTTAAATCCAGCTCTTCTGTTTGAGGTTTCATATTTCTCTGCCTCTGCACCATCATGTGGGTTATGGCAACTGAACTGTAAGAGTGCTCGATGTTGCTAAGTGCAAAGGACACTCTTCAGTACTTGTTTCCCTGCAGCCGTTGACTCCTTCAGGTCCCTGGCCTCCCTGGACCTCTGAGGTATCATGGCCTCTCCAGCTCTTCCTGCCCAAGCTCCTTAGCTTGTTACTCAGATTATCTGAGCTGCGGTCTGTCTTCTCCAAAATATAGATAGCAGCATCTATAGAACTGTGTGAGCCTAGGCTAGCCTGAGTGAGATCTGTTTATTCACAGGAAAACTGAAGAAAGCCCCTCTTACCCTGCCTAGCACGTGTATGGCCTCTCTTTCCAGTTCCATGTAGGACATGCACTCAAAATGTTCCTAGTCCTTAGGCTCTTTATGTCACAATAGAAGTACTGTGTTGTGCAACATTCTTTTCGGATGTTATTGTAATGCTTCAATTATTTCCTCTCAGTTTTAATTTTTATTTCTTTGAGGAAAGATACAAGTCATCATTAAAACCAGGGGTCAGATATGGAAAGATTAGTCATACCAGCCTTTACTGTTGCCAGAGGAAGCATGGCCACTGTCCCCACAGCTAATTAAGTTATCAATCAGGATAGAGAGAGGGGTTGTTTGCCTCTTTCTCTCTTTTAAATTTGTTTTGTTGTATTAATTTGTGCTAGTAGTCCATGTGCTTAAAGAAGGGGAAGAAATAGTTCAGGATGAACAAATGTATTAAGGTTGAAAATCACAGATGTCACCTCTTTTTGTCACAAAAGAGACTTTGATCTCATGGAGAGGCAGGGTAAGGGCTCTTATCTCAAGTTTTAAAACACAGGTTTGAAGGTGTTCTCCTAACCCTCTCTATTTCTCAGAGGTATTACAGTCTCTGAAATGCCTCAGTGCCTCAACTTGGTATTGAGTTGAGGTGAAGAGAGGCCAGTGAGACGTAGCTTTCCAGGCCCCTTAGCAAAGGCTCTGTGTGGAATTTGGGAGTGACAACTTTAATAAGGCTCTTAAACTGTTAGGCTGGGAAATAAGGTTGGCAGCACTAAACCTCAGAGAACTGAAATATTGAGCAGCAGTAAGCAGTGATTGATGGTTTGACCCTAAAGTGTCCCCACAGGTCCCTGTTCTGAATGCCTTTGCCCAGCTGGTAGGGCCTTGGGGAGGTAAGGCCTCACTGATCCCTAGAGGTAGATCCCTAGAGGTGGGCATTTACCAGTTATAGCCTGGTTCCTGGTTTCAGCCTTTCTCTGCTTGCTGGTCGGCTCACTGTGATGTAACGCATGCTCCCGTGCCGTGCCCTCTGGGACAGATGGAAGTGCCCTGCTGAAACAGTGAACTGAAACAAACCTTTTCTCCGTTAAATTGTTTCTGTCAGAAGCTTTGCTCACAGCAACACAACAATGACTAAGACAAATGGCAGCCAGTCACAGGCTTGGTTCCTCAGGGCTTTCCCAAGCAGTGTGGCTGTTGTCACTCTCTGACAGTACTCAAAAGTGTGTGAATCCAGTGAGTTCTCTCCCTTGCTAATCTCTTTCAGTTTGTTCCCTTCCACTTCCCCCTGTCACTGCCGGTTGCCGTTTGCCCTTGCTTGGACCTATTCCTAGTCCCTCATGCCCTGCCATCATTGTCTGCTGTCTTTTATTCTTTCTCCTCATCTGCAAAGCTGACTTTCCCAAATGGTTGCTTTCTTGAGCTCCCAAACTTACAAATTCTAAATGGCTCTTCCTCAGCCTCCCTTGGTCTGCTCTCTGCTCCCTTCTTTCCCTCTTACCCGTCTGAACTGCCCATGCTCATTAACTGCATGGTACACATCAGCATGGTGGGGGAGGAGGGTCCCAGAAGTCAGGCAGCCTGACTCCAGGTAAACTGAGTACTTGTCTGGCCTGTCTTTTTCCTGTTAAGGGGGACAGCAAAGCTTGATGCGGATTACATGGGCCATTGTAAATGAAAGTGCATGAGGTATTGATTGTCTGACAGGTGGTACTGAGTCCGATACTGGCAGTAATTTAATACTCCTGTTTCAGTACTTTATTCCTGTGCCTAGTTTTAACTCTTAAATCTATTACCTCTTCTAAAGCCATGCATATCTTATCTCTCCAGCAGTGACAGTGTTGTCTTATAATACTCCTGTTCCACAGCTTAGCCCTGCGCTGGCCTAGCTGCAGGCTTACTCTCATGCATCGGACCATTAGGCACATGCTCATCGCAGTGCCTTGCTTCCTGCTCAGACCACTCTCTTCCTGGATGGCCCACGGCTGCTGCTTGTCATTTCCATCTCCTCATTTGAGAGGCCTTGCATGACTGTCATTTGAAGTGGCATTCCTTTTCAGTTTACCTATATTTCACCTGCTGGAATTTTTTCATAGCACTTTTAATATCAGACAACTATAATTATTTTCTTATGCCCACTTGGTCTTTAAGCTCCATAGAGATTAGATTTTGTTTTTCTACAGCCTTATCCCTAGACATAGAAGAATACTTGACATAGGAATTCAACCATGTTTCTCTCATAAATGAATGGCAGTAATATATTGGTCAGGGAACTTATAGTTTATTTTGACATATATTTCCTTATTTGGTTCATTGTAACAATAATGGAAATGTTATCAGCCCCGATTTGAAGATAAGAAAAAAGAGACTTGCAGATTTAAGTATCAGAAATCCTCTTGAAGTCTTCACCCCGAGTCCAGCATCATTATTGAGTGTTAATGATGACGGAGAGTAGCCAACAATGGCTAGGCTAGCCTTGGAGGTTTTCACAGGACACTCTGAAAAGATGTGGGGAATGCAGTGTGCCAACAAACAATTTCACTTCAGAGTTTCTGACGTCCTCACATGGATAAAGTAGCTGGAACAGACTGCCATTCATGTCAGGCCACAGTGTGCCTCACCATACTCTGCTTGTCTGCTTAGTTCCTCTTTCCCTGGCAGTGATTTTTTTTCATGCAGTAATTACCATGCTATTTATTATGAATTAACTTTTCTGTTTTTTAGATAGAGGTTCATTCTATATTAGATGTATAGACTATGACTTACAAAGGGAGAGGACTTAGAAACTTAGAGAAGCATAATTTCACATAAGTCCTGTCAGGTACATGAGGCCAGGGAGAAAAATCATCTCTAACCAATCTTGAGTAAATGATTTCACAGATTTTAAGGATGCCTGCTGAAGATACAGTACTGATGAAGGATTCATAGGTTAATACACCACCATGATGCAAAGGTATTGTACTGTCCTAGGGAAGGAAAACATAAATATGTCAGTAGTTAGCTCCAAATTCATAGTAAAGTTCTGAGTCATCAGCCAGATCAAACATTGGCAAACTTAGCAGCAGAAGGGCAGATAATGGATATTTTAGGCATGTTAGCTGTAGAGTCTTAACGGAATTGCTCAACTCTTCCAGTGGAGAAAGCTGTATTGTGTTAGCCAGATTTCATTGCTGTGACAAGTACCTAACAGAAACAAAAGGAAGAAAAATTATTTTGGTTTGCATTAGGAGTTTTCAGTCCAGGTTTACCTAATCCATTTCGTTGGGTCTGAGGCAAGGCAGAACGTCATGGTAGGTGTGTGCATAAGAAGCAGAATGAAACAGAAAGGGGCTGGGGGCCAGGTAGAACCTTTAAGGGCACTATCTAGTGACTCACCTCCTAAAAGCCCATTCATTTGTAAATAAGTTCATTAATGAAATCAACACTTTCATGACCCAGTCATCTGAAGTGATTGGATATACTAGCTGAGAACCAAACCTTCAATACAAGGAACCTCCTGATGGACACTTAGTACATCGGCAACATGTAGACTGCAGAATACGTAACCTGTGTGCATGGCTAGGTTTGGCTTAAAGGTCTTTCCAACCCCCTCCTGTGGACAATAAATTATACATAGGTTTTTTTTGTTTTTTTTTGCTTGTCACAGACGGTTTTACCAGCAAAGTTTTCAGGAAATGGCTGGCTTGGCTAATGGAGTGTGAGCACTGGAGAAGAGAACAGATTGGTACAAAGGAAGCATAGGCAACCCTGAACAAACACACCTGGCCAAAGTGACGGCTGCCTTATTGTTGACTAGATTCCATTTAGGGGTATTTTTGAATATAAAGAGTTAAGAAAGTCTGCCCAGAATTCCAGTCCCATGTCCCCACAGCCCATCCCACAGCTCAGAGCTGGAGGTAGGCATAGGGTCTTGAGTGATTTGCTTCTGACCCTCCTGACATGACAGCAATGGAGTTGTGTCTTTTCTTAGGGTAGATTGCTTAGGTTTACTTCAAGCTCTGTTGCTTGAGCCATGTTCCAGTGTTGACTGAATTACCCTGAGCCTTCCTTTCTCCAGCTCTAAGATGAGAAGCATAATCCATGTACTGTGCTTAGTAAAGTAACACTGGCAATAGCTATTGCTTATTAAATGTGATCTGTTATTTATATGTCTTTTTTAGATTAGACTGAAAATATTAGTGTTAACTTTGTTGGGATGTTTTTGTTGTTTTTTTTTTTTCCCCCTAGAGATGAGGACCAAACCCAGGGCCTAGTGCTTGCTAGGCAAGAGCTCTACTGTTAAGCTAAATCCCAAACCCCTTATTTTGGATTCTTAAAGTGAGTTTATACTTATCTTTGAGTGAATAGATTAAAATGATGAGCTTTTAAAAAATATGTTGATAATAGAAATATTTGTCTGCCTTAGCCTTGTCTCAGGGGACAAATTTGTTCCTGTCATTCATAATTCTGCAGTGAAGAATTCTTCATAAGAACCTGTCTGCTCGGGTTCATGACCATCACTCCCACCTTTCTGTAACTTTCAGTCAGGAGGACAGGTGGAGAGCAGCTAGCACCACCATGATCCTCTCTAGCAGAGCAGCAGACTTTCTACAGGTGAAGGTCAAAAGGACATGACTTAACACATTAAAACTCACCACAGGAACGTCAGACTATCCAATTCAGTTAGAAGCAATAATCTGTAAAATCAAGATTTTATTAAATAATCAGAATGAGTGAATAAAGACTAAAATATGCTTAATTCAGTTTTTAGAAGACTTAAGAGAAAAATTTAGATAAGACAACAGGAACAAAAGGATTCCTACTCAGTCAGATATTTTTAAAGAACCAGTAGGGACTTGAGTGCTTGGCTCCTGCCTTGGCTGGAACATGGACGGTCTCTGAATGTGTGCCTGTGTGTGTGACAGCAGATTATGAAGTATGTACTTTTTTTTTCTCAACAGTTTCTGAACCTAAAATCTAGTAGGGTTGGGAGGAGAAGACTCCAGCTGTGAGAGGTGATTGTCTTTAAGGAACTTATAGTCTTCGTCCTTTTGTTTTTCCAAGGTGGTCAATCTGTGGGGAAGAGTTGAAGAAAAAAAAAAAACCATAGAATCTTCAAGGCCTAGCAGCTTTTTTTTTTTTTTTGATTGCCATGCAAACTGGGACTGTCTCCTAGCATGCCAGTCAACTCAGTCGCCCACAACAAGAGCTAATCACTATATCTTGAGAATATTATTCTCAGTGTTTTTTCTTTTTTAAAAAATAATTTGACTTTAACTTTTTTGTTATGTGTGTTGTCTGCGTGTCTGTTCACTGTGTGTATGCTTGGTGCCTACTGAGAGCAGTGAGTGCTCTTAACTGCAGAACCTCCTCTCCTGCCTGTGCCCATTGTTTTGGAGTTCTTTGCACTGTCGTACGGGTTTTTCTAGGTCTTGGTCCTTATAAACTCCACTGAGTTAAAACTCTTAACTTATATAGTACCTGAAGATTGCCTTTGTTTAAAAGTTAAAAAAAAAATCAAACCCTCAAATAAGATTCTAATGGAGAAACTGCTCATTTATCACCAGATACTTTGTCACTTTGAGAAGTAACTAATGTGAAAGCATCAGTTCTGAGAGTCTTAACCTAATGTAATAAAGACATTATTATACCTACTTACTAGTGCAGTAATTTATAGCATGGAAAACAAAACACCAAAGGGAAATGGGGAGATGGTATTTTTCTGAGTTGGTCCTAGAGAGGCTCCAAAAGAAGGTGGCGTTTGTACTGAAGATTGAAAGGCACGTGTTTGTGTAATCTTTGGGTGGGAGGTGGGGATCTTGGCAAGCTGCAAAACTGAAAGAGAGCAAGCGTTTAAGTATGGTCACTGTTACTGCAGAGGCATGGACTGCGCTGGCCAGAGCTGGCCAGCCATGAAAATGGGCCCTGCCTTCCCAACAGTGCAGTTCCCTGTCTGACTCTGACTGAGTTTTACTTTGTTCCTTCGAGAATATTTTTCTTCAGTTGGGGTGAGTCCTGTTAAGATACATGCTGAAGAATAACTTCTCTGTGCACACCAGTAAGACTGTAAAAATGAAACCTTTTATTATGTGATTGTGAAACTAGCTTTTCCCATTACTAAGTGGCATCTTGGATTGGGTGGTTTGGGAATGTTTTTCAGGTTGAAAATATCCTCTTGCATGACCGAGGCCACTATGTCTTGTGTGACTTTGGAAGTGCCACCAACAAATTCCAGAATCCACAGGCCGAGGGAGTCAATGCAGTAGAAGATGAGATTAAGAAGTAAGCTTTTTTTCTTTCCTGGAGTTTTGTCCTTTGTCAGATAAGCACATTCATTCTCTTTTAGTTTATGGATGAAAACAGAGTGGGATGCAAATGGTGCAGGCCGGTTACCCTTTATCCCAGAGCAGACTGTTCACTGTTGGGATGTTTGATTGTACCTGACAGCTGAGGGGAGAAGACTAGCTGAAGGACTGACGCAGAAGAGTCTTAAACCCTTTCTCAAAGCTCCTATAGTCACTCTACACACTATGTTAGTGTACAGTGCCACACACCCATAAAAGGATGAGTGGTAGCTGGAGACAAGTGTGTGTTTTTACTAAACCCTAAATTGTTAGCCTCCTTCTTGTGAGGAACTCAACCACTCTCTACTGGAATTTATGGTAAACAGAATGACTAAAGCCTCTACAGTTACTGAATCAGTGACCTGACAGGAAGTCTCTTTAGATTTTGACTCATGTAGGAACCTCATGCCCACAATATTGGGTTTTCCCAAGCATAATACACTCACTGTGGCTTCTAGTAAATCATCTGTCTAGCATGTACTTGCACATGGTGATCCTCTGTCTCCTTTGTGTATCATTCAGGTAACCATGTGTGAGGCCAGACCACTTCAGTGTTTAGTAACATAAGATATTCACTTGGAACTAGTGCTTTCACTACTGTTTTCTTGAGTCAAAGATAAGAATGCTATAGTTTTAGCCTCAAAGGACCCATGGTCATGGAGCTAAAACGATGGCATGGTGCATAAGATGCTTGCCATGCAAATGTAAGGACCAGAGTTTGGATCCTTAGCACCCAGGAAAAAGTGTAGTGGGCCTGTCTATACTCCCATCACTAGGGAGCAAGCCGGACAGCTAGACTCATCCGCAAGTCTCAAGAAGTAAAGTAGAAAGCAATGGAGGAAAATCCTCAGCACCAGCTTCTGTTCTCCACATACATAGGCACATGTGAACATGCACTACATATGTCACCGCTCCCAGAAGAGAACATGTGAAATTGATACCCCAGCTGGCTCACTCTGAGAACACCCTGCTTGTGTTGCATCTGAGTCTCAGGTTAAGGGTTTACTTCTTTAAAAAGGAATCAGCAAAATACAGCATTAGACTACAATGGCTTATAGGGGAAATTTTTGTCCTCATTTGAGGAACCCCCAAAAGGGGTACTTTTACAACTTTAGTGTATCATATCTGAATACCCCAGTGCCCTAGGCATAGAAAGCCTGCCGTGAGAAGATTTGATGACATCATTGTCAAGGAGAAATTTCATTGTAGCTGCACTAATATTTAATTTGCTCTTCTGCAGATTGCTGCCCAAGAATTGGATTCTAGTAATATAAAAGAAAAATTGCTCCTCCTTGATTATAGCACTGATATATTTAATAAAACATGGATCTCTTGATTGTAGATACACAACGCTCTCCTATCGAGCCCCAGAAATGGTCAACTTGTACAGTGGCAAAATCATCACTACGAAGGCAGATATTTGGGTATGTGTCAACTAAGCCATCTGCACCCCATATGTTAGTAGGCCTTGGCTGGACTGCTGAGCTGAACCAGTCAGGAATGAGTATACAACATTGCCCAATGTTGATGATGATCCTTTTATTTTATTGTTTTATGTGTATGTGTGCCTTGCTTGCATGTATGTCTGCATACTGTGTGCATGCAGTGTCCTCAGAAAACAATATTGATTCCCCTGGAACTGGGGTTACAGATGGTTGGGAGCCTCCATGTGTGTGCTGGAAATCAAACCAGGGTCCTATGGAAGAGCAGCCAGTGCTCTTAACCACTGAGCCATCTCTCCAATCCCCTTGATGCTGATCTTGATATGAGGGGTCAGCCATGAATATGGAGGAAAAACAAATATAAAAGTAGAAACACCCACTTCAGTATGCTTTTCATGTTGTGCCAGTGCTTGTATGATATACTTGGTTCGTATGATATACTTCTAAAGAACAAACCAGTTGAAATAGTTTTCTGATCACAGATAAAAATATGACTCAGATGCTAGGTTGTCACTGTGAGTTCTGAGTTCAAGCACTGCGTAGGTGATAATACTAAATGGGTCTTGTCCGCTGGTGAATGGAGGTCGCACTGCTCTTGGCAGATCACTGGCTTTACAGTAAATAAACCATTAGTTGCAATGTGCTCTCTTATTTTTTTAGGCTCTTGGCTGTTTGTTATATAAATTATGCTATTTCACTTTGCCATTTGGGGAGAGCCAGGTGGCAATTTGTGATGGGAGCTTCACAATTCCTGATAACTCACGATATTCACAAGATATGCACTGCCTTATTAGTAAGTATTTCAAATTTCTAGTTTTATATTTTTTATTTCTAATCACTGGGAATGGATTGAAGATAAAGGGATTAAGTTCCAGGAATAAGACAGATTGCAATGACAAATCATCTGATACTGTTGGGAATAGTGGTAGCACAGCGGTATTCACCTAGAGAAGTTGGTCTTTTTGCTAGAAAATTAAAGTCCACTTCAGAACTGAGCCAGCCACACTGTGGGTCTGGTAGCTGTGCTCTGAGCAGCACGATGCTGCTGTGTTGTGCAGTGGTCAGTGTGAGAGCTCAGAGTCCAGCTGACTCGCATCACAGGACAGAACTGCTTCTCTGAGAAGCTGGAAGCTGCTCAAGTGAGCATGATTGCGGTACTGGAATGAATGTGTAATTAAGACCATAAAACTTCATGGAGCTGGGTTTTTCCTCTCATTTAGATTATCACTAGATTTTTTACAACAAGCTTCTAAATTGAGTGTCTTGTTTAAAATTTCAGAGATTTTCATTTCTTTGTGTTATTGTAGCCAGCATATGTACTAACATCCATTAACCAGATGGTACAAAAGTAAGTGTTGTATCAGAACTTGTACTAAAAAGCTAAAGAAACAGATTAAAAAAAAAAAAGTCGTCCATAAAAATTCTGGTCAAAACATTTAGTAGCTAAGTTTGAAAAAGCCTTGTAGACCATAAATCCTGAGCTGCCTGATTTGAGTCCTGGGCAGGGAATCTCCTGAGAAAAAGAGAAGTAAGATGGAGGGAGTGTCTGACCTGTGTTGAGGCCTCACCTAGTTCTCACCATCTGTAGGTTTGGTGGGGATTTATTAATTTGTTTATTTGCTTGCTTGCTTGCTTACTTATTTAGAGACAGGGTCTCACTATGTAGCTTTAGCTGTCCTGGAATTTACTGTATAGACCAAGCTAGGCTTGAACTCACAGAGATCTATGTGCCTCTACCTTCTGAGTGCTAGGATTAAAGGTATGTGCCACCAAGCCTGGCAGAACTTGTATATTTTAAAGGTCATTGTCCCTGTTTCACACAAGAGGAAGCAGAATGACTTACTCAAGCTGACAACATTCTTTTGGTTTCACTACTTTTACTTTCCACTATGACACTTTTCTCAATGAACAGGAGGATAGGGTATTTAAAGGATAGGAATGTAGCCCTTGGGGATGCCAGATTGTCTGCATAGGCAAAGCAGTGGTCTGTGCTTGCACTGCAGGTGTGGAAGGAAGTGTGGAAGGAGGTATGGGAGAACAGCTGATCTTGATGTTACTGATAGCTTTTTTTGTCTCTGGCTATTTTTTCTTTCTAACATCTGCATCAATGAATTTATGAGTGATTGTCGCACTGACACCTTTTCCACACCCCATTTATCGTGTAAACTGTTTGCAGATTCTAAACTTGTAGGTTTCAAATTCAGCCTCTTTTTTGCCTCCCCCACTCCTTTCCCCAGATTGTCCTTTTCCACTTAGTGGTATTGCCGTTTAGGCCTTGAGATAACACAGAAGATTTTCTTTGGGTCTGAAAGAGCAAGGAAAAGGAAGGCAGCAGCCATGACCTCAGCTGCATTGAGTCTCTGAATTTGTACTGCTTTCAGCAGCTGTCATGGTTCCCACCACAGTGCATACAAGCTCAGCAGATGGTGGTGTGGTGCCTTGCCCCAACTTCTCTCACCATTCTTCAGCACATCCCTCCCATGGATCATTCCTGGAAGATGTTGCCTTCTCATGTCCATTGAGTAAACTTCAGTGGCTTGTCAGTGGTCCCACAGTTAGGCCCTGATTCTTAGCATGGAGTTTAGGGTCCTTTATATTCCTTTTCTGTCCCACCCAGACACTGCCCTTTAGGCTCCTGAGCTCTTGTTTCCAGGTAGCGTTGTTCACTTTCTGGCCTTTATCTAGGCTTGCCTTTGTTAGCATTGTCCTGTCACCTAGACTGCTTCTTTCTATTCTCTCCCATGACTAACCTTTGTCCTGTCTCTTCAGCAAGGCCATTTAAGACCTCAGCCTCACAGATCTTTTCAGAACTTAGTGTCCATGTCATTCATTACTTAAGCAGTAAGCTGCCTTTACTCATTTTGCATGTATTTATGCACGTATCTCCAAGAGTAGTAAGTAAATTCATGAGTTTGGTTTGTAGACCTGGAGACAGACCCAGGGAGTGTCTGCCACCAAACTCTGAGTTCATGAAGTTTGAAGTGTGGTTGTATTTGTCAGTATTTTTTTGTTCGACAGAGATGTAATAAGGCAGGAAACCATACTCAAGGCCTTGGCACCTTCTAAGTCTTAGAATATAAAGCTGCTTATCTTTCTGTTGAGAAAGTGAGCCCCTGATATTCCAGGCACAGGGTATGAACCTCATTTGTTTTGTTAGAGCACAAGGAGTTTATTTCTTGTTTCCCTTGCTAGGAAAAGGGCTAATTGAACTGTCTGATTTTCCTGAGAATTGAAGCTTAAAACAACCCAACTTTGATAGTAGAAAAGTTTAGCTTCGTAGCTGAGTCAGCAGTTAGGATATCATGAAGTAAGCGCGTGTATGTTTGTCTTAGGGTATATGTTGGAACCAGACCCTGACAAAAGGCCGGATATTTACCAGGTTTCTTACTTCTCATTTAAACTACTCAAGAAAGAATGCCCAGTTCCAAATGTACAGGTATGTGAATGGTGCTTTTAAAAACTGACTTATCACTTCTAAAATGTTTTTATTTGTTCTTTGAGAATTTCATACATGTAACAATGCATTTTGATTATATCCATCCTGATTCCTCTTTCCAACTCCCCTAGGACCTCTCTAACCTATCCCTCTCCCAAGTTCATGTCATTTCCTTTTCTTTTTAAAAAATAATCTATTGATAGGCAGAGTCATGGTGACCTGTCCCCTGAACCTTCACCCAGCCGATACCCGGCTCTGAAGATATCTGTATTCTCCCTGAGCACCCACACTCCAGTGTCATTCCCTTCCCCACGTCCTGCCTTTCTGTGTTTATACCCCTGTGTGAATTAATTATGATTTGAGAAAAAATTTTTAAAAAAGATAAAAAAAATAATCTATTGAATCCAGTTAGTTCTGCCCATATGCCCACAGGTATGGGGCTATCTACCTGAGCACTGACTACCTACTGTTCTTACGTCTACAGAGAAAAATGACTCTCCATCAGCAGGTGTCAACTACCTGTAGTTCTTCAGTGAGATGTGGGGCCTCAGGAGTCCTTGGAATTTTGATTAACTTGATCTCAGGCAGGTCCTATGCATATAACCACAGCTGTGAAGGGTTCATGAAAATGGTGCTATTTAAAGGAAATAAATGTCATGAAATTGTTATTTTTGGGTCACTATGGGTATTAATCTCTGGATTCAATGAATATTAATGTCCTTTGTTTTATCTACTTGGGACATTGAAGCAAAGTAGCTACTATAAAGAGAATATAATTTTCCTGTGGTATTTAATTATGAAACTGAGACAATTAGACTGAACAGTAACAACCCCCACCCCCACCTCAGTGCTTGGGGATTGAGCTCTGAGTAGAGTGACCAAGTTCCACCTTCCACAGCTCACTGAGAGCGGCATGTCTTCTGTGTTTCCTAGAGCGGTGAGGTGCCTTGTTTTCCTGAGGCAAGGCTCTGTTCACCGAGCTTCTCTCTCGGGCACTTTGCTTCCTTGATGCATCTAATGCATTTGTCCAGCCTCACTTCCCTCTAGTAGGGAAATGAGAGCCAAAAGTCTTGGTAGAAGACCGCAAGTGCTACTTCCATTAGCCCTGGTCAAACTAACTATTCCTGGTTTGGAATTTTAATTTTTAAGATAGGATCCTACTGTATAGCCCAGGCTGACCTTGATTTCTTGATTCTTGTGCCTCAACCTCTCAAGTCCTGGGATTACTGACATAGGCCATCATATCTGGGCTCTGATTACTTTTTCTCTACAATGAAATCTACATTTTTTTTTCTTTCAACTTTTTAGAACTCTCCCATTCCTGCAAAGCTTCCTGAACCAGTGAAAGCCAGTGAGGCAGCTGTAAAAAAGACCCAGCCAAAGGCCAGGTAAGAAATGCCCTCAGGAGCTTGCAGTGTGCTTGGTGCTAGCTAGCTGCAGTGGGACTGCCTGCTGGGGCCTGTGTGGCTGTGAGGAGAAGGAAACCAGTTATGTCTCCCTGTGCAGAAACTGTAGAGCCTCAACAGATGTGTCTATTGTGTGGCAGTGAATGCAGGGGCTTTCTGGGATGAGGCAATGCCAGACTGTAAGGGTTCCGAGTAGAGAATTGTTCATCTATTTCCGAGCTAGTGGATAACCAGGTTCACCTCCTAGCCCTCCACATTCCTTTCTTTCCTGGCTCCAGCCATATTAGGAAAGCAGTCCATCAAGAGATCCATCCCCCTAGGTCTTAGCCAATCATACTGGAGTCACCTAGGGTCTTCCAAGAAAGGATTAAACAAGTAAAGGAAGACGCCCAAGTCAGAGGGACAGGGACAGGCCAGGAAAGCCTGGCAGGATAATTGGAAGGTACAGGTCTCACTTCAGAGAGGAAGGGGACGAGTGGGTAGATATGACCCAGACTACTATACCATTTCAGGAAGGATGGCTGAATCCTCACCCCACAGTCAGCCTGCAGAGGAGTCCCTTCCTACTGGAGACCTTGCATTTGGGATTTGGACCTGAGAGCGGTCTATAGGAAGAAAGGCTTCAGGACACTCTGGACTGGATTTTATTATTATTATTATTATTGTTGTTTTTCACACCTGTCATAGCTCAGGGTCTGTCAGACATATTTACATGGATTTCAGATGAAAAATTCTGAGGATGGCTAGGAGGTTCTCTGCCTCTTCTATTCCTACCATCCTCTCGTGGCCAGGAAATGCTAGCAACAAATATGACTGGATAACTGAGTGTTTCAAAAGATTATTTATTATTTATTTATTATTGTAAATGTACATATGCAAGCAGATTTATAAGCTCATTACTGTGGGTGCCCCTAGAGGTGAGAAGAGGACATTGGCTCCCCTGAAGCTGGAGTTGCAGAGGTTGTGAGCCACCCAGCATGAGCACTGAGAACTGAACTCTCAGCATCTCTGCACAGGCAGTACATGTTTTCATCAGTTGAACCATGACCAAAGCAACTTACAGAAGAAAGTATTTAATTTGGGCTATGGTTCCAGAGGGCTAAGAGACCTTTATGAGGAAATATGGCAGCAAGCAGCAGGCATGGTGGCTGGAACAGGATCAAGCATGAAGCAGAGAGCAACTACAAAGACGGCAAAGGCTTTAAGACTCCAAGGCCACCCCCAGTGACATACTTCCTTCAGCAAGGCCATACCTCCCAAACTGCAAACACATCACTAACTGAGGCCCAAGTGTTCACATGTATGAGACTGACAGGGACATTTCATTCAGACCACTACAGCTGGTTGGATAGTTCTGCTTTATGAAGCTCTGGGTCCCAGGTTTCTTCATGGTTCTCACTCTCCCACCTTACAACATAATCATGACCTTATAGTTTAATATGGCAGCATCTATATTCAAAGCAGCAAAATCAAGGAGTAGTCAAAGAGACCATTATCTCTTAAGGCTCCTAGAAAGTACCAGTCAGTCATCTGCTCTGTTCTGTATGCAGCCAGAGCTTGTTGCTTGACTCTCTCAGGTTACAAAAGAGTCTATGCTCTGTGAGATGTGAGTCTATGCAGATGACTGTGTGGCCAACCAACAATTTATTATCGTGGAAAACAAAAGCTTGTGTATTTGAGAAGTAGCGTTCCTATCACAGTCCTATCACAAAGTTTGCGTATTCCCTCCAGTTGTCCTGTTTGGTTCACTCTTCTGCATGATTTTTACTATAAAGAGCTCCCCTACCTTTTAAAAAGATTTATTTTTGTTTATGTATATATGTCTATGCAGTGGTATATCCATGTGATTGCAGGTGCCCACAGAGGTCTGGCGAGATTATTAGATCCCCTGGAGTTGGAGTTATAGGCTGTTGTGAGTTACTCTGTGAAGATGCTGGCAACTGAACTCAGGTGGTTTGGAAGAGTAGCAAGCAGTCTGAACTACTGAGCCTTCTCTCCAGCTCCTAGAGAATCCATTATAACAGCTAGTTTTAACTAAGTTCTGTCTGTGTGTGAAAAACCACTGCCCCAGCCATTACCCAGAGTATATTTTGGAAATCCTATGTTTGTTAAACGAGTATACAGGCGAAGTCAGTTTGAGGAAGTATTTCCTATTCAAGAGTCTCTTCAGCAGTCACTCCGCACATGGACAGTGGACAGAAATCATCTGTTTATAGACTTTGGTCAGTGTGTCTAGAACTTACTTGTCCACAAAGCAACTTTTTAATCCTTTTATTGGGGTATTTAGTAGCATTTTTTTACTGAGTATAAAAGAATTATTACTATGAAAAAAAAGTTTTTTCATTTCCCTCTAACTTCTTCAGTGAACTTACTTGTCATTCCAGAGTATATTATTCAGGGGCCTGGGACTGGGGAGATAGCGCAATCATTATTTTTTTCAATTTTTTTAATTGAAAATTCATACAATATATTCTGGTCTCAGTGTCCCCTCCCCCCACCTACTCTCTGATCTTTTCCACTTCCCTGTCCATCCAACTCCACAACTTCTCCCTCTCGCTCTCTGAAATAAAAATTGGCAAGTAAAAGAAAAAAAAAGAAAACTGAGAAAGCACAAGAAACACACACAGACACACAAAACACAACTAACACAAATTAGAAACCATAATATATAATTATATTTTTATTAAAATTAAATTCATTAAAATTAAAATATATTGATATATAATTAATTATATATAGTTAGTCAATAATAAAAATATAATTAATATATAAGCAAAAGACCAGTAAGATTTAACAAAATATGCCCAAACAAAGCAATATGAGACCAAAAAAAAAAAAAAAAAACTAGAAAAAACGCCATTAACTTCATTTTGTGTTGGTTATCTTCTGGGCCTTGATGCCTACCCTTCGATGTAGTTTATATGCTCAGTGAGACTTCATTGGAGAAAACTTTTTCTTTGCAAGTGGTTGTTAGTTGGAGATGGTGTCTTGGTTACGGATGGGATATCATGTCCACTTCCCTATATCAGTGCTAGGACTCCGTCTGCTTGAATCTGTGCAGAGTACACAGACTGTGTATGATTGTCAGTCCTGTTGTGTTTCCTTGGTGCCCTCCACCCCTTCTGACTCTTAGAATCTTTCTACCTCCTCTGCTTCCTGAGCCCTGAGGTTAGGGGTTTGGTGAAGACATCCCATTTAGGGCTGAATGTCCCAAAGTTATACTCTCTACACATTGTCCGGTTGTGGGTCTCTGTATTAGTTCCCATCTACTGCACCAAGAGGCAACTTCTCTGATGATGGCTGAGCAAGACACTGGTCTAGGATATAGCAGAAAATGTCACTAGAAGTCATTTTATAGCTGTGTTCCTTTAATAGAATAATAAATAGTACTTGTTTTCCACTAGGCCATGGCCTATCAAGTCTCAGGTTCTTGGCCACCTGAGCAGTGTCAGGCATGGGTTCTGTCTCATGGAGTGGACCTTACATCCAATCAGATATTGGCTGGTTACTCCCACAGTGTTTGTGCTGCTGTTGTACCATCATGCTATGCAGGGAGGTCACTGTTGCAAATCGTAGGGTTGGTGTTCATGAGCTCCCTTAGTTTGTGCTTGTCTTAAAATGTCCTTATTTGGGGCTGGGGAGATGGCCTTGTGAGTAATTATTACTTGCCAGAACCCATGTAAAGCTGCATGCAGTAGGGCATGTTTGTAATCCTAGCATGCCTCAGCCGGGAGATGAGAGGCAGACATAGGAGAATTGCAGGAAGTTGACAGACCTAGCCTGGTACATGCAGTGTTGACAAGGAAAACCCTGTCTCAAACTAGATAAAAGATGAGAAACACCACCTAAAGTTGTCCTCTGACCTCCACATGTGCATCATGACACTTGCATGTCTCCCCTCACAAATGACTTGAATCTTCATTGCTTTTCAAGATCGCTTTACTGAGCATGGTAATTTTGGTTGAGAGTTATGTGCTTTCAGGGTTTGGAATGTATCATTCTGTGCTTTCTTGGCTTTAAGGTTGCTGATGAGAGATATGTGATTTTGATGTGCTTGCCTTTGTAGGTGAATTGGCATTTGGGAAAGTGTTGATTAAGCCAATCTGAATGTTTTGAAGGAGTGTTAAGGGCAAGCATTTTGTGTTCTACATATCCCTTCTATTTTCCCACATTTTAACAGCAGTTTTGTTTTTCTTTTTCTAGACTGACAGATCCCATTCCCACCACAGAGACTTCAATTGCACCCCGCCAGAGGCCTAAAGCTGGGCAGACTCAGCCAAACCCAGGAATCCTTCCCATTCAGCCAGCCCTGACTCCTCGAAAGAGGGCCACTGTTCAGCCCCTACCTCAGGCTGCAGGTCAGTAACTGGTTTGCAGCTTGGTCCAGTGCTGCTTGATGGTAGTGTTAGAAGGCACAGCCTAAAGAATAATGCACTGAGCTGCCTCTGAATGTGTATGGCCAGTGGCTGCACAAGGAGGAACTTCTTTCTGTTCTCAGATGAATCTCCAAGACCTCTGAAGCCTGTTCTCTGCATTTATTTTCTTATTGGACCTCTGCTCCATCCACTCTACCCTATTTGCCTTACATATTTCTCCTTGCTGTTAAAGAAACAAGGTTTACTTATTTTTGATAAGAATATTATTTTATTAATGCTGTGTTCATTAGAATACTTATCATCCTTTGTGTTCTAGTGTACTGTTGTAACAAGATGAGTGAGCTTTGTTTCCTAAAGGGGATTGATCCAACACAACAAGTCACAGACCACAGCTATCACATTTCTTTTTTTTTTTTTTTTTTCTCGAGACAGGGTTTCTCTGTGTAGCCCTGGCTGTCCTGGAACTCACTTTGTAGAGCAGGCTGGCCTCGAACTCAGAAATCCGCCTGCCTCTAGCTATCACATTTCTTACTAGGAACAATTTCTGATAAATTTGGTGGCCGTCTATATTAGAGCCAGGCATGCAGATGCTAGTTGTGTAAACTACTCATAAATATCAAAGAATGCTTTTGCCATGGCACACAAGCTGGCACACAGATTATGTTTAGTTTCAGTTGTCAGCTTTGTGTAAGGGGAACAAGAGGTGGTGACTGGCGAGCTAGGTGCCTGAATGAGATGGTGGATGAGGGAAACCCTCTGCAGGAGGCAGGTACTGAAGTTTACAGTTCCACCTGGCTTTGAAATTTAGGAAGCACGTGATTTGGCAAGAAGTGGAAAGCTGTTCCAAGTAGAACATCACAGATGGCAAAATAGTGAAGAACAGACAAAGCTTGGGACAGTCTGCCTACTTCTGCCATTTCTTGTGTGGCAAATCACAAAGCCTTTTTTAATAAGGTTTCATTGTGTAGCCCTGTCTGTCCTCAAACTCACAGAGATCCACCTGCCTCTCCTCCCGAGTGCTGGAATTAAAGGTGTACACCACCACTGCCAGGCTTCAGAAAACCATTTTTGTCTGGTAGAGTTTTGAGCCCTTACATGGAGTTTATTTTCATTGCAGGACCCAGCAATCCGCCTGGACTTCTAGCCAGTGTTTCCCAACCTAAAGCCCAAGCCACACCCAGTCAACCTCTTCAGTCATCTCAACCCAAGCAGCCACAAGCTCCAGCCACCCCACAGCAGACACCGGCTACCCAGACCCAAGGTCTGCCCAACCAGGCCCAGGCCACTCCCCAGCACCAGCAGCAGCTCCTCCTCAAGCAACAGCAGCAACAGCAGCAACAGCCACAGCAGCCTACAGCACCACCACAGCCAGCAGGCACCTTTTACCAGCAGCAGCAGCAGCAGCAACAGCAACAGCAGCAGCAGGCTCAGACTCAGCAGGTGAGGAGCTCTATGTGACCCTTGCTTTGTACAGTGGAATATTAGTATTGAAAGGCCTGCTAGGTGCAGGTGTCTTCCTTCGGAAGTGCTAGGATGGCCAAGAGTCACTGACCAATAAATGTGTTATCACTTCTCATAGATGTAGAAACTGAAGTATCAAAGTATGGTTAATAACTCTCAGAACTTGTCCTCAAGCCTTGGGGAATTCACCCCAACTTAGCATCCTTAACTAACAGAGCTACTTTCTAAGGAGATACAGGGGGGGAATAACAGTGATGTCCTGTTAACACATAATATCTAGTAGTATCAAACTGTTTCAGATGTTGCATAGTTTAAGTTTGCTTGGTTGGATCAGGAGCCAAACAAGGTTCATGTACTCTATTTAGTTGGGATATATTATCTTTCATTATTTTTTACATAATTTTTAACTTTGAACATATATATTTTATGATTGATTTCTTTTTTAAAAAAAATGTGTATCTGTGTCTGTATGAGTGTATACATACATATATATTTGGGTACATATACCTGTGAACACTCAGAGGCAAGAAGAGCAATGGACCAACTCTAAATGGAATTTAGAATTACAGATATTTGCAGGATACCTGGCTTGTTACATGTGTGCTGGGATCTGAACTCCAGCAAGCACTCATAACCACTGGGCCAACTCTCGAGCCACAGGGAGAGAGATTGATATATCTTTTACATCATTTTATCTCCTCTGCCATTTTATTTATTTATTTATTTATTTATTTATTTATTTATTTATTTATTTAAAGAAACTGAATTTCTTGTTCTTTAATATTTTTCATATTATGAACTTGGCTTGGTTACCATTTGGTATATTTCACCACTCACAATATTTGTCTGTCTGTCTGTGTATGTATATTTGAGCCCATGCTCTATGGCGTGCATGTAAAGGTCAAAGGATACCTTTCAGGCATCTGTTCTATCTTACCATGTGGACTCCAGGGCTAAAACTCAGGTGGTGGACTTGGCTACAAATGCCTTTAGTTGCTGAGCTCTCTCAGCAGACCTAAACTGGTGCTTTCCAGAGATAGGCTCAGTATCAGTTCAGTCTGGAGTTCTTTGCTCTTCCTGTTCATTCTGATGGGTGGCCAGTGTTGTCTTTAACCACCAGTGGGCTTAGGTATTGTCTGTTTCATTGTTTTTTTTTTTATTTTGTTTTGTTTTGTTTGTTTCAATTTTTCTCTTCTCTTTGGCTTGCTAACCATTGCTGATATTTTCCAAGTCTTTAAACCTACTTTGGGTAGCGAAATCCTACTCTCAAGTTGGCCCTGGGTATCAGACTCAGCTTCTCAGGCTGCTTGGCTGCAGGTGCCTTTGCCCACTGAGCCATCTTACCAGCCTATGTAGAGTTGTTTTTATCATCTTAGTGTAGTTACCCTGAGTTCCTGTTTGTACAGAAGAGGGTGAGAAAGATGTGAGGTCTTGTCCTTATTTACCAGTGTTCATTCAGAGGTAACAGTGAGTGTGTTACTTAAGTTTATGGATTTGTATATTTTAGTTCCTTTAAATTGGCTTCTGGGCCCCTTGGCTGTAACTCGTGATCAGTGATTTCTCTGCATTGAGAGTACTAACTGCCCATGACCATTCTGCTCTTAACTTAGTCATCCATTTCTCTAGAGATCAGATTGTTTTTAATGAGAATGATATTTAGAAACAACAGTTGGCCCTAAAAATAATTACTTGCTAATGGGTAGTATTGATAATTGTTTCTAGGCCTTTTTAGTAGATGCTTAGAAATGTGTTTCTTTTATTAGAAAACATACATGAGTTCAGATTTATATATCTAATTCAGACTTGTAATTATAAGGGTTTTTTTTTAAATTCTTGAATTTTATTGTTTCTATTATCTAAAGGTCTTTTTGTTGTTGGTTTTAAAATGTCAAAAGCCCAAGCCCAGCTCAGTGTCTCTCTCCTTGCTGCCTTTGGATCAAAACAGCCCAGCTGACCTTGAACTCTTGGTAGTCATCCTGCCTCAGTCTTCTGGATCTGGGGATTATAAGCATGCACCATCATACCTGGCAACCCTTAAATATTAAGCACATTATTTTCTGTGGAGTTTAGCTGCCAGTTGGATACACAGACTATTGACTTCATTTTAATTTTGCTTCCTGCATTTTGGATCAGTTTTGTTTTATGAATGTGTAAAATAATCAGTTTTAAAGTTAGATCTACAAACTTCTGTCTTCTCATTCTTGCAAAGATATACTCTTAATTCCTGTTTTCTTCTTTAGAATGTCCCTTTGTCACCCTTAAGGACAGACCATAGCCCTTTGAGATCCCTGTAGGTGGGTCTGGGTTATTGCTGTTGTAAACAGGCAGTTATACATGTACATATTGTTTTTGCTGGCCTTTTAATTTTGCCCTAGTATACACATGCTATCCAGGCTTATCCTAACTCAGTGAGGTTTGTAAAACAGTATCCTCACTTTTATTAGCATATTCTTGTTTCAAGCTTTGTTAGTGTACCTAGCATGTACGTCCAAGCAGTGTGGATTAGAAAGACATAAAAGAAATGCCAGGAAGATGCATATAGGGTTCATTTTAAGCCCCTGCCACTTGGGAAGCTAAGTCAGCAGGGTTACTTAAGTCCACAGGTTTTTGGAATGATCCTTGGCAATGTAATAAGACCCTACAAAAAGCACAGAATAATAAGAGTATTTGAAGGTGGCAGAATTTCATAAAGGTAGATGTGTTGGGGAGTTCAGATAGGATAGACATGGTTGGTTAACATTTTAGTTGCTCTTTTCAGTCTCATCTCTGAGGCATTCTAGTCATGCCGGGAAATATTTGATTCTTGACTGCTTCAAAATCCTTTGTAAGAAGGATTTCTTCTGCATGGGCGATTTTCTCACTTCTGTTCACCCCTAGTCTCAGATCACTTGAGTTAAATCTGGTAGTTTCCCTGGGACTGTGCCTGGAAAGCAGTCTGCTGCAGTGGGAAGGGCCTGTAGTGCAAATGTTGCTGGTATTAATTCTAATGCCTTGAGTCCTGCCCTGAACTCCTTGGGCCAGCTACTGTGCTTTTGCTGGGCCTTCCCTTTGGCTTCAGTGTCATCTTTATAGTTATTGAGACATTAGTCTTTTGTGAATGTGGCTCTGTGATAGGCTTGCATTCACCTCCTCATTTCTTGCCACTCTCCTGTACAGTTTCAGGCAGTACACCCAGCAGCCCAGCAACCAGTCACTGCTCAGTTCCCTGTGGTGTCCCAGGGAGGCTCTCAGCAACAACTGATGCAGAACTTCTACCAGCAGCAGCAACAACAGCAGCAGCAGCAACAGCTGATGGCTCAGCAGGCTGCCCTACAGCAGAAGACTGCTGTGGTAGTCCCACAGCCTCAGGCACAGCCAGCCTCAGCCCCACAGGCAGCCGCTGCCCAGGAGCCTGCGGTAAGACTGAAGAGGAGCGATGGGGGATGCTGGGAAGGGAAGGAAAGAGGTGGCAGCAGCCTCAGGGGCTCTGAGCTAGGGTAAGGTTGTTCTACCCTTGTGATTAGAGGGTTTCAGTTTTTTCTTGACAGTTCCAAGTGTAAAGTATTCTGTAGAAAGCAGAGATTGAAAGAATATTTTTACACTACTTATGAAAAGGAACCTTCTTGCTTTTCACATGGAAGTTACTTTGGAAAAAGAGGTTCCTTGTCTTATCAGTGTCACTGCTGAACAGCCAGGGACTTGGGAGCAGAGCTGTTTTCTGTTCCTTCTTCAGGGACAGTTTGATTTGTTGTGCCCATGCTGTGTCTGGAGGTTCAGGTAGTATCTTAGTCAATGTTCTATTGCTATGAAGAGACACCATGACCATGTCAATTCTTAAAAAAGAAAGCCATTTACTTGGAGGTGGCTTACAGTTCATAGGTTTAGTCCATTATCACCATGGTAGAGAACATGGTGACACACAAGCAGACACGGCACTGGAGCGGTAACTGTGAGTTCTATATCTGCAGCCACAGTAACAAGAAAAGAGAGGCTTTGGGCCTGGCTTGAGCTTTTAAACTTCAAAGCCTGCTTCCAGTGACACACTTCTTCCAACAAGGCCACATCTCCTCTAACAAGGCCACACTTCCTAATCTCTCTCAAATAGGGCCACTCCCTGATGACCAAGCCTGCAAGTATATGAGCTATGGAGGCCATTCTCACTGAAACCACCACAGGTGGCCCCACCTTTACCCTGAAATTCTGAGACCATTTTGTTTGTCCTTCATCCTAAATGACCTTGCTAAGCATATGGTTTGAGTTTGCCATGCAGTAATCGTCAAAGGACTGCTTGCCTGGGACTATATACCATGGGATAACCGCTATTCTTCAGAGCATCCTGAAACTGGAGTCATCTTGTCAGTTTAGAGATTGAGTCTATTTTCAGATACTGACTGAATGTGGCAGCAGACCCCAATTCCAACTATTCCCTTTAGTTTCAGCAAATCTCAGACTCTCTTGCTTGTTCTTTAGTAAGTGACCTGTCTTCTATACTCAGATTTCTGAATGAGAGTAATAAAAACTTTGCTGTTCTCATCAAAAGCCATTTTGAATACCTAGCCAGTGGTGTTTATATATCCAGCTATTCTCATTCTCAAGGAGACCCAACATCTAAACTATCTTTCTGAGGATTCATTTCTAGCAGAGAAATGAATTGGCCCATCCTCAGCCAGAAAACCTGTAGGCCTTCAAAAGGAAACCGTGTTGTAGGTAGATTGTCTTCTTTCAGTTTTCTGAGTGTTGTGCTTAGTGTGTTTACATGTTTGTTTCTGAATCAACTCAGTCTCCTGTAGGAATATGGTAGAGAACCATTATTTGTACTTTTGACCTAAAATAAACTTTGTGATAATAGAAAAAGTTTTGAAAACTATTATATGAAATAACTAGAGGAAATCTTAAATATTCAGTTTACTCTTCTTATTGTGGAATTAGAACCTGGGATCTAAACTAGAAAATCGCTACCTAAGATATACAGAAGGACTGTACTAGAGGTGGGGCAAGGAGCAAGAACTCTGAGCTGTGTTTGGGGATGGTGATAGCAGATGCTTTTCTAGGGTGGTGAGATGTTCCATCACCATGGAAGATACTTCTTAAGAGGTTCTTCTCTGCTTTTTCCCAGACAAAGTGTCTACTGTCTTGGGAATGAACCCTTAGCCTTCTCATGGGTCTTGGATGAGCCAACACTGAGCCCTGTGCCCTGGATGGTGGGTATGGGACACAAGGTGGAAGCCAACTGCCTAGTAGGAACCAGAGAGCTGTCCAACTTGGACCTGCTTTATCTTGCTGTCTCATGGTAGGGCTTATCTAGAGAAGTAAGCAAGTGAACAGCAAACAGGTTTGGCAAGGAAAGCTGTCTGTCCTCCCCTTGATGACCTATATAGGCAAGCAAAAACATGCCCACTAGGTAGTGTTGACACAGCTTGCTGCTCCTGCAGAACCCCCAGTTTCAGTTCCCCATACCTGTGTTGGGAAGCTGTCTAAAACTTCAGTTCCAAAAGGGTCCCATGTCTCTGGTCTCCTTGAGTACCTGCGCTCATGTGCAGTTACACAGGCACACATACATGCACAAACACAGGCACATGTGCGCACACACACAAAATAAAATAAAATAATTAAAAAAATAATAATAAAATAAATATTTAATATTTATTTTTAAATAATAAAATAAATAATTTTTTAAAAGAAGAGCTTTTAACAAAATAGACAGCAGACTGTCTTTTTACTTTCTCCTATGGTATACTCCTACTTCCTGCCCCTTTTTAAAAATTTAATTTAATTTCTTAATTTTGAGACTGTCTCACTGTGTAGCCCAGGCTGGCCTGGAACTGGCTATGTAGACCAGTTTGGCTTTGACTTTACAGAGATCTGCCTGTCTCTGCCTCCTAAACACAGACTAAAGGTGTATGTCACCTCCATGATTTCTTGACTCTCTGCCCCTTTCTAATTCTGGCTGTGGAGGAGGCTCTACTTCCAAGTGGTCTTAAGATCTTGGTTGGCCAGTCAGCCTCAATGAACTGAAGATCCTCTCTCTCTCCTAAGTGAGAGTACTGGAATTTATTCTGTAGGGTCCATTGCCACTTGTTTTCTTTGATTCCTAGTGCCCATAAAACCTGCCTTGAGAGGTTGCTGTAGGAGCAACTGGTGGGCAGAGCTGCTATGTATTTCTGGTTGAGTGTTCCTTGTTCAAAATACTTAGGACCAAAAAGTACCTTAGAGTTTGACATCTTTGTATTCCTAAGGATATATTTTGAGGGTGAAATCCAAATCTACACACAGAATTAATTTATTTCCTAAGTACTTGTGCAATGAAATAATTATATATTATATTTTGCCTTTTGGCTGTAACCTGATACATGAATTTTTCACATGTGGTATCATGTCAGTGCTCAAAAGTGACGATTTTTGGAGGCTTAAGGATTTCAGGGATTCAGATTGGAGATGATCAGCTTTTGCTGTCTTGGAGATGTGGCTCAGTGGTTCTTTGATCATTTGTCAGAGGAGGAATCCTCCTGCTAGAGGTTCTGTTATGTGTGCTGCACATGAAGGATAGGTAAGAGAAGTGACAGTGTTCTCTAAATAGTATGGCTGCTACTTCACAGAGTCCATTGTATTGGTGATGTACCCTTTCCAATTTGACAAGCCAGTCCATGCTGACCCCTGTGGATACTGGCATTCAGGTGGCTTTTCTGATACAGCTCTGGACCCCAAAAGAAGACGCAGTGCCAGCGCCCTGACCTTCACAGAGCTCTCTGCTCCCCAGTGGTCTGTGTTACCCTTCCTGGCTTAGTTTGGTTGACAGTAGAGCCTTGTAGGTCTGCTGACATTCATCTTGTTGGTGGAATAGTTGGCATACAGAACGGGTAGGTAGAGTGCCTTGAAAACCATCCCAACTCCTGAGGGCATCAGGAAGACAGTCTCCCCTGCTGTAAGCATCCTGGCTCATCAAGATCATGTTCTGCTTTCTTAAATTCTTTTTCTCTACTTCAGCAACACAACATAGGAACTGAGCTTCAATGTAGAGAGGTAGCTCTCACATGAGTAGAGGGATTGGAGGGAAGGGATAGTTAAATCCCTGAAGGATTCAGTATTTGCTCATTTTATTTCCAGATTGCCAAAAGTAAGGAAAGGGCTTAGGTGTGTCTTTCTGGATGGTTTTTAAATTACTTAGCTTGATAAGAGGTGGCTTATGCTAGGGACCACTTACATGGTCACAACTACATTGCTGCTTGTTTCTTGTTCTGTGAACCACTTCTCAAGAGTCCTTCAGTTAACTCAGGCATCATTAAGGATTTTCTTCTATCTCACTGTATTTTCTGCTGATCTTCAGTGCCATTTTCTTAATGAAAATTGGAGCAGGCAAATTGCATCAAACTAGTGTTGCCCTTTTCCCATGGGGTTGAAACAATTAGTTTCTTGTGAATCCATCCCACCAGTGAAGTGAAGACCTTTAACAAAATAAAAAAAGAGCTGCCATGTTTCACGCTGGGATTGTCTGACTTACTCTACTAAGTGTAGGAAGGAATCCAAACTCTCAGCAGAAACTGTTTTGCTCCAAAGCATCTTGGCTGGAGTGTGTCTTGTCTTCTAGCTGCAGTAGAAGGCAGAGTCTACTGTCTGTCTTGTGGAAGCATCCCTGAGGAGGGGCTGTTTGTTTTCATCAGTCCTTTAAGATGCCTCCCAGGTCTTTTAGGGCTGGGAATAGCTTTTGTGGTCTTGGGCTGGTAGCTGTGTTACATCTGGTTGATATGTATATTGAAGCTAATGGAAACTGAGTATGTATAAGAACCAGGCAAGGCCTTGGTGGTGTCAGTCTCCATTGCACCTCAGATGGCTGTCGCCTTTCTTTCTGGCTTTGATAACCTTAGCCATTCAAATCTTACAAGAACAAATGGAGTATTATTATACCTGGGTGTTGATTTGTTTTTCTTTTCCATTTCTTTCTCCTCCTTTTTTTCCACTCATAATGAAGCTTTGCATTTCTCTCTCCCTAGCAGATTCAAGCCTCAGCGAGACAACAGCCAAAAGTTCAGACAACTCCACCTCCAACCATCCAGGGACAGAAAGTTGGATCTCTCACTCCTCCATCTTCCCCCAAAACCCAACGTGCTGGGCACAGAAGGATTCTCAGTGATGTAACCCACAGTGCAGTCTTTGGGGTTCCTGCCAGCAAATCAACCCAGCTGCTTCAGGCAGCTGCAGCTGAGGCCAGTCTCAATAAATCTAAGTATGTTTGTTCTTACCATGTGGACAAGGTCTGCTCTGGGTTACTACCATATGATTGTTTGCATAAGCTTGTGGAGATGTGATAGTAAGCACGTGCCAGTACATGTCTGTATTTAGTAAGAGACCACAGTGTATGCACTGTCCAGATCATAAGACTCAGTTTCCATTCTCCCATCTGTTCTGTGCTCAGTCTTAATTCTCCCTTACTGACGATTATACTTTGGACATTCAACACTTAGAAGGTGTTGTCTCAGCAAGCATTGTCTGCACAGGTGACTTGGCTCATTGTGACCTTTGGAACTGCTGCTTCCCTGTCCCAGAGGGAGCATGCTTTGACTCCTTAGGTTTGTGTGAGGTGTTGCTCTTTCCTCTCGTGAAGTACTTTGTCTAGGGACTTTCTTCTTACAACCATAAATCACACTGTTTTAGCATGAAATATTTGTGTGTTTGGCCAGCCTTCATGAACCTGATAAGTTGCTGGTTCTCTGCTTCACGTATAGTCAGTCTTATTGACCATTGTGACCATTGTGACCATTGTGACATCTGACCATTGTGTCAGTGTAATTTTAGATCCATAGCTTCCTTGAAACCATGTCATCTAAGGTTAATCATATTTAAGTCAAGAAAGGCTGAAAGAAAAATGGGTGATGTAAACATACAAAGTAGTGGTACATGTTTGTTTGTTTGTTTGTTTGTTTGTTTGTTTAGTGATAGAACGCTTCTGCCATTGAACAATGTTCTGAACATGGGATGATAGCTTAGTACTACCTGGATCCTGGAAGGTCAGAGGCAGCCAAGAAAAGGGGATTGATTATATTTGCTTGACACACAGGCTTCAGCATAGCTTGCTGTAGATCCTAACCTGAAGGGCCTTGCAAAAGACAGGCAAGCTGCAAGATTTCTTGAGAGCTGAAGTGAAGGAGACAGCATTTGTAAAGACTAAGCTTTCCAGATTTGTGGGAAATCCTTTAGGAAAACACTGGGAAATTATGGTTTAACTGAGAAAAGAGCTGATACCATAATGAAGAGAAAATCATTTGGGTCCTTTGGCCTTGTTTAACTTTCTTTCCCTTCACCCTCGGGGTGCGCACCTTCCCAGGTCTGCAACCACCACTCCCTCAGGCTCTCCACGGACTTCACAGCAGAATGTCTCTAATGCTTCAGAAGGCTCCACATGGAATCCTTTTGATGACGACAACTTCTCCAAACTCACAGCTGAAGAGCTGCTGAACAAGGACTTTGCCAAGCTTGGGGAAGGTGAGCAAGCTGAGTCTTCTGTGCTTCATAGTTGTCAGTCAGCAGAGGATAAACTGGAATATGTCTGTGTCTTAGCTGTAGAGGGGTATGCTTGGCAAAGGTCAGCACGGACCATCTTGAAAAGGATTGGTTTGGGGGTCTGCAGACTGTTTTTTATTTTTGCCAGAGTATTGATTTTTTCTTTCTTTCTTGAATGCTGACCAACTTTGAGAGACAGCAGAGAGTATGTAATCATAGAAGGAAAAACTTTGGAAGGATTTAGTAGCATTAACAGGGATAATTGTGTTAAGCTGAGTAGTGGATTGCTTGGAGAAGGGTGAATGTCCCCCTCATCCTCAGGGGCTTGCTCTAGAAATAGTGGTTAAGGGTGTGCCTCACAGGATGCGCGGGTCCTGATCACAGGTCTGTGTGGTTGTTGACTGAGCATAGAAAGGAGATACTTTCCATAAAAAATGAGGTTCTATCCAAAATAAATAACCCATAACCTAATTTGGAAGGCAAGATATACAGACATCCACACAGACCTAGGAACTCTCACAGACACCTGGGAGCTCTCTCCACTCTTCAACTGGAAAACACCCTTCATGTACTCAAAGCACAGGGCAAAAGAATGATCAGAACCAGTGAATATAGGAACCGCTTTACCTAACTAACAGAAGCGCATCTCAACCTTGTGGGGGGTCAAACAACCCTTCCATGAGAGTTGCATATCAGATATTGACACTATGACTCATAAGAGTATAAAAATTATAGTTATGATGTAGCAATGAAAATAATTTTATGATTGGGGGTCACCACCACAACATGTGGAACTGTATTAAAGGGTTGCAGCATTAGGAAGGTTGAGAACCACTGCATTTCGGTGGTGTTTTACATATATACTTTCCTACCATTTAATTTTACTTCATTTTGAGACAGAATCTCACTGTACAGCCCTGGCTGGTCCAGAACTTCTGTGTAGACCAGGTTGGACTTAAATACACAGAGATCTACCTGCCTTTTTGCCTTCCAAGTGCTGGGATTAAAGTTGTAGACCATGCTGGGCTAGTTCAGCCTTTTTAAGTAGAAGACAGCACAGGATTTGACTTTCTTTAATGTCATTTTTATTGTTATCTCTGCCACTTCTTATTCTGTTATGTAAACAGAAGTTTCTTCTTGCATTATTGAAAATTAGTATGTTTGT